TCCCCTTCCCCAAAGTGGTACCTGCAACAACACATAGAACCCCCAAAAACCGTCGTTTGTGGGGACTTCCTTTTTGGGGACCTCCTTTTTTGGGACCTCCTTTTTGGGTTCCTTCCATTTGAGCAAATTCCTGGCTCTGCGACTCGAGTCACGAGTCGCAGGTGACCTTGGGGCAGCTGGGGGAGTGGGCGCGCGTGAAGAGCGCCATGAAGAAGGCGGTGGCTTCAGTGCGCCACATCCAGCAGAACGCCCGCCGCTTCCTCGCCTTGGCCCCAGCCATATGGCCATGGTTCAAAACCAATGGTTCCATTTTGGGATAGGACCCATTTTAGTCTATTTTAGTGGGGATTGGGATGGGGGTACGGGGTTTTGACCCATGGCCATATCATTTCGGGTATCGACGTTGGGCGGGCCGTTTGAGAGTGCAACTCGTTTTTTGGATTGAAGCCAAAGAAAAACACTCCGGATCCCCATGAGGAGGGTCTTCGTTTGAGGCTGCCTCATTTGCGGGGTGGATCGAAAAGGGAATCCGAAGAAAAGAACTACACTTTTTGGGACCACTATTTTGAGAACTCCTTGCTAGCGGAAAGTGCAACCGATTTGGTGTCGATGGTCTGGGGTAGATTCAAAGTCATGCCCTCTGTTGATGAGTATGCAATACATGTATATACATATTATATATACATATGTATACATATATATATTTCCGACACATGTATACTCAATTCTGTATATAGATTGGAGATTGGTTTACTATGTGCCCTTGAGATGCACAGACACATGGCGGGCTAATCGCCACTCTGTTCGTTCCATGCGAGGCGGTGAAGCGCGAGAGGTGCAAGCAGATCGCACAGGACATGAACCCATGGACCTCCTGACACGAGGGACTTGTTTTTGGTTTAAAGGGAAACCAAAAAGGGACACCTCCATTTGACGGAAGGGACATTTGGTTTGAAAAGCAAACACCCTTGGCTTTGTCGCGTTCCATTGGCTTTGGATTGGTTTGGAGATTTGAAGCCCTGAATCTTGTCTTGTGGATCGAGGAATGGGAGACCGCCCCTCAGGCACCTCCACCGGCAAATAGGGTTCATTATTGTCTCCCCACCTAAACAACACCTGGCTATAGCTGGGGCAAGCTATGGCGACCACACAAAGGTACGCGACCTCGCTCATGAAGTTTGCTTCCAACCCTATGCTTGAGTCAACCAGGTCACTCAGCAAATTGCCACTGAATGCGTTGGATTTCTCAAACAGTGGTCTTCAAAAGCGGTTGGTTTCCTTGTGTTTTTCCATGAAATACCCATGAAATACCAACCAAGAGGGGGTTCACCATGTTGAGAAGCCCTGAATGGAGATTCCAGATTCACCAAATTCCACACCGGCTGGGCCCACGCACGAGAGGAGTGGGATCGTGTTGAAGACCACAGCCTGGAGCGCTTCTACGATCGCTTCGCCGTGAAGTCCCCCGATGGCAAAGGGTTTCATCTTTCTGCTTCTACATGTTTTGTGTCAGGACTGTTGTTGTTATTTCGTTATTCGAGGTTTTTTTGTTGCTTTGTTTCTTATCCCATGTTGTTCTTTGTTTGTTGTTTGTGTGTTTATCCATTGGCTGGACAACAAAAGCGACTCCATGGCCCCCTTGGTTGACATTGACTTGTGAACAACCACAGCTTCCCTTTTTGGCTTCCCTTCACACACCACCAAAAGTTATTCTTGGACACCAAGCCGCTAATGACGAAGACTTACACATAAATTAAAAGGCGATTGGCACGATTTGTTGCTGCTATATAGAGTGTCCAGGACCCTGTTTGACAGGTGTGCCCGTGTCTTGCGCATGTTGTTGGCAGGGGTGCCTGTGTAATGCTTCATAAAAGTTCTACGTCCAGCCAATGTCAGGGGAATGGCCAGTGATGTTGAGACAGCACGTTGCTTCTGTGTGTGTGTGGACTTTTCTCAGAATGGGAAGACACATGATTCGCCTGTTGCTTCAATGTGTGCCAAAAAAAAGAAGAGTGTCAACGACATTGTACGTTTTGTGAGAAACCTCCATGTCCCAACGCCTGCTCATGCCATGGCGTAATTGTAGCCCCTTAGTTGGCATGTCAGAAAGATCAGGTGCTCAAACAAAGGGGTGCCCTTGCTCAATGGGCGTGTCTTTTTTTTGCGGGAGGGGGAGCTCCCATTAAAGTCTGCGGGTTCGACAAGCTTGACTATGATGAAGACGCCCAACAGGGCTTCCTTGATTCAGGTTGATCTTGAAATTAGATGGCGTAATTCGTGAAGTTGAAGTCAAAGAAGCCAAACTTAGACTCCGAATGTTGGACCCAAATATTGGCCGACATGGACAAGTATTATGTTCGCCCTCATGAAGGAGTATATTAATGATCCGCAGACAAAAAAGCAAAAACCTGATTATAGAGCAGGCAACTACATTATCATTATATGTATAAAAAGGGTGCCAGGCGAACTAACTAAAGCGACGTCCCTGACCATGGTGAAGGGCAATTCCATTCAAGTCGGGAGGATATCCTCATAGGCTTCCCTATGTTTCGCTATATTCGGGGGAGGTGTTCCAATACTCCCTTAGGGATTTCACAGTTGGGGAGGTTCGCAAGACGAAGCTCCTGGCTTCTTGAGCTGTCCCTAGGGTCAACACCCGTTCAAGGAATGGTTGGTCGAATTTAGATGATGAAACTCTTTAGGCAAATAGTGGTGGTTATATTGACCCCCATTGGTTTAATGGTGGCTTGAACCCCAGGCCCATCATTTTGTTTGTTGCGTTCTTTGAGGGTGTCACTTGGGTCCAGGCACTTCCGCCCGCGACTCAGGCTTTTCAAGGACAACTTCAGCCAGGCTATGAGGGGAGGGAAGCTTAAGAACGTGTCAAATGACTTGCTTCTCAATCCACCTCCGAGTACAAACGATGTAAGGATGTGTCTCGTGTTTGAGGCCACCCCGTAATGGAACATTTCAATGGAACATACCCATTTTGGGGTCCCCTATTTTAGGTCACACCCATTTAGAGCAGGCCCAAGCCAGCTACCGGAACCTTCTGGGAGTTGCTCAAAGGCTGGATGGTTTCACGCCAAGAGGAACCAAGGACGAGCCTTTTTGAGAACCCCCTGAAAAGACTCCCTTCCTGAGTTCCGGGCCTGACTTTTTGGTCAAACCATGCTAGCCTCACTCGGCCAAGCCCGAGCTTTTGACCTGTTGGTTTCCCATGTCTAAGTCCACTTTTAGTCTAGGTGGCAATAGGTCGTAAAAGGTGAGCTTTCGATTTTTGGGTCTTTTGAGAAACCGAGCGGCAAACAACACTTCGGACTTAAGTAAGACTCGGGAAGTGGGACTCCCTGTGGGTGTAGCCTAGTGAAGTAGCTCAGGGCCAACTTGTGGGTTTCTCAGCATGGATTTCGGACTTCCGTTTGGTTAGAGGGAAACCCAAGGCAAACCAAACCATTTTAGGGGACCAAATGCTATTTGAGAAACACCCATATCGGAGTTTCCAACATGTCTAACTCACTACCTCTAAGCAAACCCCGCTGAGGGTAAGGATGGGATTGCAGGTTTATAGGTGTTTCCACTGTGGAGGGGTTGACGCCAAGAGAAACCAACTGGAGGTTGAGCTCCTTGAAGGGGACATATACATCTGCCATGGTGGATGGGGGTTGAGGTTGCCAGATTCAGAGTGGCCAAGGGAATCCCTTTGAATGGGACAAACCCAATTGAAACTCGTTGGGTGGGAATGTGTCAAAATAGAGGGATGTCGAAAATGTTGGCAGTTCTTTTGTTTCCATTAGCGAAACCCACAACAGACCACAGCAACTCAAACAGTTCTCGACCAGAACGGCACAATGAGCCGAGACATGCGGCAAAAACGCTTCTAAGAAGCTTTTAAGACTTCGGTTTCCTCCTTAGAAAGGCATGTCTTGTTGGCTTCCCTTTCCAAGCTGAACAGGCTACCCACAAAGACAGCCTACAACAAAACCACATTAAACAACACCTTGGCTTGGTTTCCCTTCAGGCAGAGCGGCCAGCCCGGAGCAAGGCGAGATGGATGCTTTGAAAGCTTCGTGAAGGATGGCTTTACCTGCATGGTCGGAACCACCCACCCACATTGTTTGACGGTGCACGAGTGTTACCCTTCCCTGGCTCAGGTGGGAGGCAAAGGGGGGGAGTTCTCTTTCGGGCATATCTAAATGGAAGCCCTTCAGCGGTTCCCTTCAGACTCGAAGGAGCAATTGTCGTCTTCCCATGGGGTCGGGAGTGCTCAGCTTTTTGGACCACCTGAACCTTACGCCATCGAATCCCGTGAGTTGACCCAAACGACGTGGAAGCTTCGTTCCACTAGAAGACCCAGTTCCTGCATGGGGTTGTCTCAGAGACAGACCAAATGTGATGCAAAGACGGAAAATCTGACTTCTTGGTGTGCAGATGTGGGCCGCGTAACGAGGCCTTCTGTAGCTTGGCTTTTGCAAGTCAAGAGCTTTTCTCAGGGGAGAGGCTTCCGGCAACGGTCAGAGGTGTGTTGGTACGTGGGTGTTTGTTGCGAAGTTAGTAAGCGTGCTATTGCCCACTTGTGAGTCCCACTTGGTTGGGTCAACCCTGTTCTTATCGGGAGTTATAACGGCGAAGCACTTACTGACCTGGCAGGACATCCGAGGAGAGGTCGGTTTCTTTTGGCTTCCGCAACTATAGCAGCAGCTGCTGATTTTTTTGGATGTGTCTTTCCAAACATCCGTCAGACACCGGAGAAACGCCGAGTTTAGGCAACGAACGATGGTAGAAACGAATGCTCAGTCCAAAGGGAATCGATCCGATTTGCTGTCCATGTCTCGCCTTTCGGGGGTCCCGGAAGGTTCACCTTCAGGTGTCCAAGTGTCGAAGTATTGGGCCCAAGCCCGGGTTTCGGCATTGTCCTGCTGTGGTTTTAAACCAACCCCAATCAAAAGGCTGGGTTCCCCTTGAACACGACTCCCCCGAAAAAAGGGCATCCAATGGCCAGGGAAGACGCGGTGCCTTCAAGGACATGATGAGCGCCGTGAAGGCACATGCCTAGCAGACAGGTTGTGCGTCTCTGTGTGTGTCTTGTTGCTGGGGTCTTTATTTTGACCGTTTCTAGGGCCATCAAAGTCAGAAAATGGGGTTGTTTCCCTTTAACTCATGACTTAGGGGGTGACTTTGATCATGGTAAAATAATGAGGCCAGTGTTGAGGTCTCCCTTTCCAACTTGTCAGGCTGGTCGAAAAGAAAGCCAACGGAAAGCAGAAACTCCATTGGGTGGGGGGGGGTGCACGGTTCAGAGGGCCCATCTTTTGTTCTCACCTCATAGGGTCCCTCAAACTGAAGGCTTGAAGGCCTGTCCAAATCTATTTTGAGCACGGTTTCCTCTTAAACCTCCATTAAGGGACATATTGAGGATGCCTTTCTCTGGAGGGGGCCTCCCTTTCAACATCAGCTACCAGCACACCGTTTTTTGCGCCACTGCAGGAGTGTGTTGTTTTATTGTGCTTGCGGGTTGTACCATGGAAAACTTCATCGGCAGCGGAGGGCTGGACAGGTTTTGGGACGTTGAAATTTTGATAGTCCCTGACATCTGGGTCAGCTTTTGTTTCTGCTCCATTTTACATTTTAGCCCTTGACCAACATGCTGAAGATATAATACGCAAATCCTGATTGAAGTCCTCATGTTGACCCCGGAATAATAAACCTGTCTTGTTATTGGGGGAGGTGTTCCCCTTCAAAAGTGATGAATTCCCACTAACCCCAAGGACTCCCCCTGTTCAGAGGATGGGCTTAATCCGGGGTCGAGATTGAGGCCTTAGGAAGCGCTGAACGGCGCTCATCCAAGCACTCGAATCAAGCACTCGATCCGAGGGGGTGGCCTTCAATTGGCGAGCCTTCAAGGTCCCAGCGGCTGCCCGGACCCCGGTCACGCGGGGGCTTTTTGACGGGGGATGGAGGGTGGGTCCTATGGCGCCGGGGCTTATCTGACGTTGTAATAAAAGTATCGCCTATGAACCCCTGGCCTTATAAACCCCAAAGGGGCCAAAGTAGCCTGTGGTCCCTTCCTGGCATTATGGGGTTTGTAAGGCTGAATTGTTGTTTTTTTGTCGTCGGTTCGGACCCTTCTCCTTACACAAGCCTTTATAGCCATGTTGCTACAGCCAAAAAGTCAGAGGTGTTTGGGCGTGATCAATTGGGTTGTTGCCTTTGGGCTGAAAGACCATTCCAACAGAGGGCTCCTCATTTGCTCTGTAGGCGTACCCCCATCCCCAGGTTCTCCTTGCAAACACCACGTCTGTCAAGAAGTTGGCAATGTTCAGCCAAATGTGTGTAAGCAACCAGACCCTGATGCCCTTTTCAACGAATCTACCCGAAGTTGATTCAATGGTGGTTCAAACACGTTTTATTGTATGCAAGGGACGGGTGCTGTCGCTGCGCTGATCGGGGTGAGTTTCCCAGTTGGCTTTGTTGTTGTCAAGGCCTTTGGTTTCAACTTCGAACTAGGGTCTTAGGAAATCCCGAGTCCTGGCTCCCCACTTGAGCTGCGGGTTCTCGAAAGACCGGGTCTTGGGGTGACATGAGAATTACATGTTTGACCCCACGACCATTCCAGCAAAGTTACCCAAAGCGCGAGTGAACGAGCTTCCAATTCCGCTTCATCGTGCAATGTGCATAGACATCTTGTTCACAACAATGACAACCGCCCTTGGGTTTCTCTCGACAAGTCCAGCAAGATGTGTTTGACTCACAGACATCGCTCGGTCCCCAGTCAGACCCCAAGGCGGTTTGGGCTATCCGCGTTTTGAAGGATGTACAGCACATCTCAGGTCAATAAGAGTACTTGCATCAGCAAACCAAAAAGGGGGCTGATTCACAGAGTCCAAGCTGTTTCCACTACCTCAAACCACTACCGCTGAAATCAGTTGGTATTTCTCCTTTAGATTGTATATTTCGTGAAACGCTCGGTTTCTTGGAGGATGCCCTCCCGAACTGTGCCCAAGACAAGCATTGGGTTTCTGATTCACAGAGTATAAGTGGGCATGTGTCAATTTGTTTGGAGAGCCCCCAAAGCATGTTTGTACCCTCAAAAGCGGGCACCCTCGACACACACACACACACACGCAGGGAGAGAGAGAGGTAGCCGGTACGTTGTGACAACTGGCACTCGCTGGAGGTGCGCGCTCGCCTGATTTCGGCCTTCTACATGATCCGTCTCCGGTGGCTTGGGCATCAACGTACCGCCCCGCCCGCTTTGTTTGCCGAATGCTAAAGTCACGCACACAACCCGGCGGACTTTCCCTCGTCTTGGGTGAAAACCATGTGTGATGGTGACCCATATTAAGCAACCCCGGTATGGGGCGTTTTTGGGTATTGATATGGGTTCAACACTAGTAACCATTTGACTAGGCGAGTTACAGTACCACTAAGAGGATTCGTATAAGGGATACGTATTGGAGTGGAATTGGGGTGGAATAGGGAAGCGAAGAAACCAACAACGAAGGTGAGGGCTCCCCATGTCTTGATTCCCACAGGAAATGAGCCCTTGGCCGAAGAAGAACTTGAAGGAAGTACATTTTGAGTCAAGGTCGCAAAAGGAAGCCACCTTTGATCCTGTCCAGCATGGGAGCCACATCCCCGGTAGAAAATTAGGAATAGTTTGGCATAACACTCGTTGATATCCGGCCTCTTTCATTATTCTTTGTCATAAGTTGAGCCCCTTTGCCTGGTGTTTAGATAGACGCCCCAAAGTTATCTTTCCCCTTGGATGATTTGGAACCGCACCTGGATGGCACGGAGGATAATTTTCCCTGGCAGGCATGTTCAGGTTGAAAAAAGCGGGAATCCTGTGAGGAGGGTTGGTAAAACCCCTGCTTTCTGGCGTTGGGGGGGGGAGGGTTGGCGGCTTTTGTTGCCGATGGTTCGAACGTGTCGTCCAATTTGTCGACTCAGGACGAAAGTTCGAAGCACCTCAGACCTTCTTAAGACGGTGAAGATGGCCGCTTGCTGAACATGGCAGGAACTGGGGGGGGGGGGTGAGTTTGCTCTTCAGAATTTCTCCTAATTTCAAGGCAATCTATCACTGCTGGACATATGCTCTCATTTTCGCAGGAACCAAAGTATGTATACCCCCTTTCAGATGGGTCAGTTCAACATCTCCTCTTGAGCCCCTGTTGGGTGAGTTTCCTCTTGGGGGATGATGTTGGGGTCAGAATAGGGAGCCCTGATCCTTTTCCTGGGCCCATGTTAGGCGGACATCTTCCAAGGAAGCCTGAGCTAAATTGTTGACTTTGGGTGTCATCCCTCCAAGACAAAGGTATGACTATGAGAACCTACAGAAAAAAAAAGAAAGAAAAAAAACACTTCGAGGACCACTTATCAGGTCACCGAACAGGTCCCAAAAAAGGTTGGTCAGCATTCATTTCACCTGGGTTCGTCCTTCTGGCACCCTGTTTTTGGAAGACTCCATAGGAACGCCCACTGAAGGGATTTGCCTGGAGACAGACCCAACCTAGCCCAAAGGTGTTGCGTGGGATGGCGCTGTGAATCGCTGGGAGGTGCGTCAACTGTTGAACATTTGAGGTTTTGATCAACATGTCCAGTAGTCTATGCTGCGTTTCAGAGGCTTGAAAGTGGGGGACAAGCTCTAAGTTTCCCAAAAGCCAGGAAACAAGCTGTAAATGTCCCATGTCCGTTTTAGCTTGCCACACTCTGGGATACCAATAGAACCCGGCCCCTTTTAAGTGATGACAAAGTCATGGGGTCCCGATAGCCCACACTTTGGGTGAGGCGCCCTTGGCCAGATGTCTCAAGCATTCCACACCTCCGCTTTTGAACTCTGCACCAGGGTTTGGAACAAAAAAGGACGGCCTTGAGCACTCCGGGGCAGAAGGTTGGAACCTGGACCCTCAAACTACCCATTAAAACAGGAATGTGTTATCCATAAAAGTATAGCAATACCATGTTTGTTTAAGGGTATTGTTAGGGTCAAGGTAACCGGTTTCCTTTGGTTCCCTCTGAGCAGACCATTTTATCACGGACCTCCGGGGCGGCTGTGGGAGGGGAGCTTTCCCGCAAGCCAAGGGCAAGCCCTGAAGACCTCAAGAGGTCAGGCAGAGAGTTATGCCCTCCCCCTCCGAGATTGGCTCACGAGGGAACCCCCAAAATCGATCTGCCGAAGTCCCCTTGAAAGCACCACCCCGCAAAGGGCACCAAGCAAGACCCACTTGCCCTTCCAGGAATCCTTTAAGGGCGATGGTTCGACTCACTTGTCCAAAGCAGATCGGCCATTTGACCTTTTGTGTTTCCCTTTGTTGGTCTATTGAATCTATTGCTTGGTCCATTGGTTCCAAGAGAATCAACCTTTTGTTGGTCTATTTGTTTACAGGTTCGAAGTGAAGCCATTCCATTCACCCGCTGAGGTCTTAGCCAAGCACCGGGAGCTCAATGGTTTTCTCAGCTTCTTCGGGAGCTCGATGAGCGGCGAGGAGTGGATTCCGGAGCTGCGATATGAAGCCCAGCCCGTCATGGGACTCCCATGGTGCCACAGAAGGTTTCTATCCAACCAGGAACCATGTTTATTTTGTGTTTTTGGGGGCATGTACTTTTATTATAGCATGTTTGCTCATTGCCATGGCCAATGCGCCATTTGGCTCAAGCTTTTTATTCCGTCGATTCGACCTGCCATTACCGTCAAAATCGCTGGCAGCGGCGCCGTGCCGGTGCGTGGGTGTTCGAATCCCACGCCCCGGATTACGGCGGCTGGGTGGTTTTGGGTGTGGGTCAGGTTTGGGTTGGGAATCGCATTGTTGCTGCTGCTCCGCTTTTGCTTGGTTGATTGCTTTGCTCGCTTGCTTGCTGCGCTCGCTTGGTTGGCTGCGCTGGTCCCCTTTCCTGTTTGGGTTTTGCGGTTAAACAGGATCCCCCGTTTGTTATCTGTGTGGTTCAGTGCCAGCCGAGGGCACCACTTTGCCCTTGGGACTGGGGGGCTTAAACTGTCTCTTCTTGTTGGTGGGTTAGGGCCTGTTTATTCTCTCCCGAAATACTGTTTCAAACCCTTTCGCAGGTTATCAGCCGTAGGATTCGTCCTCGGTTGGCACCGCGAACCCCCTTTTAATAACAACCCTGCAGGCACCGTAGGTTTCTGTAGGTATCATGGCGGGAATCACTGAGGACGGACCTCATGTGGTGACCGATGAATGGGTTCTCGGCCAGGCCGGAATCTTGGACGTTGTGAATGACGACCAAGTGCCCGGACAGCCGATGTTTTCCGGTCCTGACTTTTTGTCGGACCACACTTTTTCAGAAGCAATGCCTTCAGAGAGATCCAGTGCTACTCGCACTGATGATCTATCGTCTAATGCCTCAAGAGCTAATCGCTCTCAGGGTCGTGGGTCTAATCGTCCTGGCCATGATGATTCCGTCTCAGGACGTGATGATGACGAGCCCGGTATTGCACCTGGAGCTCAGCCCTCATCTTTCCCCGAGCTGATGAATATTGGTCAGTCCGAAATTCGTGACTCCCGAGGCAGCAGTAGACCTGTGCCAAGCAGTAGCATAGCTTTTCAAGTGCTCGGTAATCCCGAACCTGGTACATCCAGTGGAGTTGCATTTGACGTTCATCTGCCGACCGAATCCGGTGGGCTCGATTGGAGAGCCTCATGGCCCAACGACGGAAACATTTTTGGTATGGATTTTGCCGCATGGATGACAGGGCCACCCGCCCCGTCATCTTTCCCGCAATTCCAAAGCCCAAAACGGGCTGCTGGAAGCGATGAATTCATGCTACCTTTGTCGATTGAGAATCTCAATCCTGACGTGGCCAGCCGTAACGTCAGGCCAAGGCAGTCGGTAAACCCGACCATGAGGAACATGTCCCCTCCCCCAGGACTTTCAGGATTTGAGAGCCCTAGGGAGCGTAATATCGTAGATAGATTGGATTTGCATCCCAGTCCAACTCCAAGCAAACGATCAAGGTCAAATTCGACTGGATCGCATAGGGCAAGGGGGATGGATCGGGAAACTGCCCACAGGGGTAACCCCAGTGCGCGGGACTCCGGACGCGGTCGATCAGGTGATCCAGCGTCGATCATTGGTAGAGACCCGCTAAACGCGGACACACTCGTTAACGTGCTTGATGGGATCGAAGCATTCCAGGAGGAATTTAATAGGTCAAGTGGCTTGAACGCGCAAGGCGTTCGCCCTACGCCCAACGCGGCTTCCATTTTCGCCCTGAACAACGTGGACGGAGCTGATGTTCCGATTGAGTCTGAGTCCATGATGGCATCAAGTTCCAATCACAACAACACCGTCAGCAGCGCCACCGATGTTGAATCAATGTCTGAGTCTAGAGCGTCCAATGCGACTGATTTGCATGACGTTGTCATTGCTGATATGAAGCCTGAAGTTCCTATGCGGACTGATAGGCCGGTAGTCCCCAAATTGTTTGTGACAAAGGGTCTAGGCATGCCACAGCCATCAGCTGTTCGTGATGCCAGAAGATCTGCGCCGTATCAGAGTCAGTCTCCGAATCGGAGCGAATTCCCACGGCCATCAACGGCGGTACAAGATGATTTCAGGACACCTCCGAGATCTAATCCGATCATGGTTGATTTGTCCACTCCTCGAGATCGCGGATCAGGATTTGGTCCTGCGAGTGAGGAGCAACCCAACGAGGTTGCTGATCTTGTAACAGCCCTTGAAAGAGGGAGAGTGGACTCTTCGGTAAGTGCGATCATTCATCGCCTGGGTGCTAAGGTCGAAGACCTTGGGCGTAGGAATGATAGAAGTGATCAATGCATCAAGCAGCTCTCCACTGAGGTTAACTCGTGGAGGGCCAAATACGACCAATGCGTCCATGTGAGTAGCACGTGTACGCAGGCTGCGAACGCGGCCATGCAGCTGTCACAAGGGACTAAGGACATCGTGACCGAGCTTGGCCAACGCGTCAAGATCGTTTCCGATCGCATGACAAGCATAGGCGATGCCCTAAATGAGCGGGCCAGCTATGATGATGTTGCTCGCTCCATCACCCAAGTTCAAACTGTTTTTGAATCTCTTTCTGATCGAGTAACCGGGCTTATAGCTCGTGTTGATGCGATCGAGAGATCTCTAGTGGAGAGCCAATCCAACCATCCTGCGATTGGTGGAGTAAACCTCAAAATCGAGGACTTGTCCACTAGGGTATGTCAGATTGATAGGATGATGCAAGATGTCGAACAATGCTGGACCAATAATAGGGACGGCATAAAGTGGGTTAAAGACCAACTTTATGAGACACAAGCCAACCTCGAGATAAAGTCAAGGGACTGCAAATCCTACACGGACAAGCAAAATACTCATAACATGGCCGTTTCGACTACGCTCAACAGTAAGCTCGAGCAAATGCTCGAGGTGCTGGGTAATACGGCCCAGAGAATTAACTCCCTCGAGTCAAGGCACTCGAACCAGGCATCAAGTAGTGGATTGAACGATCGCACAGGAGGAAGGCGTGCCGCGTCCCGTACTCCGGATAAGCGGCCACCTCCACCTGGCCCTCCTGATGATGATCCTCCACCACCTCCTCCTCCAGATCGGCAAAGCCCAGGAGGAAGGGGGAAGAAGAGTGCTGCCGGTGGGAACCCTGGCGACCCTGGTAAACCCAGGTGTAAATACGTAGGTGATGGAAATAATCACCTCATGGCTGAGTTTCACTGCAAAGGATGCAGAGATGATATTTGTGAGTATTGTTTCTCGTTCAAAGAGAACTTGTGTGAAGAATGTTCCCGTAACGGACCCCGATGCGGTGTCTGTAGGGAGAGCTCGTTCCTGACCAAGGGAATTGAGTGTCAGTTTTGTAAGACCTACTACTGCACCAGACATTCTGCTGGGCAGGATGACTACAGGAGATTTGGATTTGTCCAGGGTCCCTGTTGTCTTGCGTGCCTTAGGGACGAAACTAGGAGAAGAAGGGATCCCGATGGTAACCGTGTCAGGAATAGATCTCCTGGAGGCACACCTGAGACGAACCCGACGCAGTCGTACTCGCCGCCTCTGCGGCCACCCGTTGACAGATTCCGTGACATTCCCACTGGGGGTCAACCCAACGCGGCTGACCTTCAGAGCCCTCCGAAGGCTACGCAACCCGTGCCCCTGGATAAACGTGAAACCGGATATTATCCAGGATTTGATCCCAAAGGTACAAGGCCGAAGGATCCGTCAGGCCTTGAGCCGCCGACCATGCGTGGCCCCGATCCTCCTGACAAGAACTGTCGAATGTGTGATCGGGATATTCCTGACCCCAGCAAAATTGGGGAATGTAAGATATGCATGAAAAAGGCATGTGAGATTTGCATTCCGAAGGCTACTCGCCTTTGTCCTGTATGTGCACTGTCAATCAGTAGTTCTCAGGTTCCACAGCATCTTTTCGGAACTGGTGGCGGCGGATATAGTAGCCACCATGATCCGAACTGTACAGCTGCGACTAAGTGCATTCCCATAGACCTCCCGCCAGAGCCCGACGCGGCTGGGCTGAGGGTATGGATAGCCAATATGAAGGAAGCTGTTAGCAATGCCTACAGCTATGATGGACTTTACGTCATCAATTGGCTAACTGAAGTCGAAAAGGCAAAGACCTTTGATGAACTGGATGGGGAATGTAAGTACCACATCCTTGAAGCCAGGTTCAATGCAGCCATTCGGAAGTGCATCAAGACTGTTGCAATTATCGACAAAATTAATCGTCTCACCGAAGCCGCTCAACGTTCCAACAATCGCATCAAGAGTAGGCAGATCCTGTGGCTCTTATACGACCACTTAAGGACTGCAAATATCGGAGAGCAATCATTCAGGATAATTGAGCTCTCGAACTTGCGATGCAGTGTTTCATCTTTCTATACTGAAGAGGAGCGACTTGAAAGGTTCATCGCGAAGTGGGATCACATTCTTGCGGGTCTCGATGAACCGCTGACCGAGCAGGTAAAGCGGTCGCTATTCAGTGAGAAGGTTAGGCACCTCAACTGTTTGGCTCATGATATCAGGGAATGGGATAGGAACATATCCAACCCTGATGTTTGTAGCTATGAATGGCTTCGTGCTCGTTGTAAGAACGAAATTGACCGCTGGAGGGTTCGTAAGAATCAGGTCAATATGCACAAAGACTTTTACGAACGATCTCAGTCCAGGGACAGAGCCCAGAAACCTGGTGCTCCTGGTCCTCCCGTCAGGAGACGATCTCCTTTTGGAGATTCCCATAGGCCTAATCGGCCTCCTAGTGATCCAAGGAAGAGGACCGGTAATACCCCAAGTCCTCATCGAAGGGACAAGTACTCTCCCAGGAATCGGGAGCAGGACAAGCGGCGTACGCCTAGCCCTAGGGGCGAGCCCCCAAGGAGGCCCAGATCTACGTCGCCCGGTGCTCCTGCGATTGATGCGTGCAGGGACTTCGCGCGTGGATACTGTTCGCGCGGACAAGAGTGCAAATTCGCACACACAAGAACTGGGAATTCCG